CTATAATACATTTGTGTTTAAAGTGAAAAACTGCAACTTCCCCCCAACATTTTTATTGCTGAGTTGTTGTTTTTTTTCCTAATGTGGGAATACAGCTGATATTTCTAAGTAACCTCAAGGGGTGAAGCTGTGGAATGGTTTAAGTATGGAAATCAAGCAATGTCCAAACACAAAACAGTTTAAAATGTCTTTTAAGAAGATGGTCCTCACTGCATATCAATAAGACAAATAAGGTAATTGCTGCTATTATTTATGTTATTGTTTTGTTTAAAGAAACTGTCACTTCCTACCTACTGTATTATGGTTTATTGGGAAAAAATGTTAATGTATTAAAAATTATGGATGCAAAAAATGAATGTTTTGTTTGTTAGAGATATGGATGTAGAAAATATTAAAAAAAAGAAAGAATGTTATAACCAAGTTAATATAAGTTGTAGTTATGGATGTTTCTTTAGATGTAAGAGGGGTGGGTGTAAAAAATTAAGTTTATACTTCTACCCACTCCTTTGAGCGTGTAAATATGATTCACTATTGTTGTTCTTGTTTTTTAAATTTATTTTTCTTTTGTATATAACTTTGTTTATTCTTTTAAATTCATTACGTTCAATAAAGTCAAAGTCAAAGGAAAAAATAAACCTGACTCCATTTGTGGATGTTTATTCTCAAACCCTGAATTGACCCGTTTGTTATTTATCACTTGGGCTATAAAGCCTACAGAGACAAAGGCAAACCTCTTTCTRTGCAGAAGATAAAGAAAACACTCTGTTCATGCACACTGATGAACTGCGCACACACACTAAGCCCCAGCTGTTGTCAGCCTCACTGATTTGGAAATAGTCGTGCAGCGTTAGTCACTGTCTGAACGCTGGTAAGTACGCGCTTGCGGCTCACTGACAGAAACCACTGCTGCCCTTGAAGACTGATCCTGAGCCAAAAGTGGGAAAGGTTTTGGAGTTACTGTGCTGTGGTGAACCACCACAGCAGCAGCATCACCTCCGCAACTCAGGAGACGTGCATAAGCACATGTCGCCTCCGCAACTCAGGAGACGTGCATAAGAACATGTTTTCCTGCAAGACTACAACACAGGACTGTTAGCTCTATCTTCACACATGAACTAATCWAAAGCAAGAAATGGGATGAAATAAGGTTATAATTAGGGCTGTGTATTGGCAAGAATTTGGTGATACGATACATATCATAACAGAAGGGTCACGATACGATATATCCTGATATATTGCGATACTGTAAGCAAGGCAACACATTGCGATATATTGCGATTTTTTTTGTCCAAAAATTCTATTAAATAAAAACCTCTTACTGGAAAAAAAAAAAGCTAATGTTTACTTACAATGCTTACATTGTCTCCTACAATGCTAATGCTACCCTTACTCTCTGGCACTCAAGAGGTATAGGAGCCAAACGGCTGGCTCACTGCTGCCAACTAGTGGTCAGAGGCTGAACTACAACATAAAAATGAATGGTTGGCAAGAAGGTTGACCATGGCTGTGTCCAAAACGACAGGCCGGGTCCTCCGGAGGACACAGACTACCCGGTCGCGGCGGGCCGGGTCCTTGGTAGACCGGGAAGACCAGAAAAAAAGAGGCTGTGAATTTGGACGGTCTAGCCTCCCCTCCTTACCCCGGCGTACGTCATGTCACCTAGCAACTGTGACGACGCTAAACAAGCAAACTTAAATCAAAACTAGAAAAATATCAATACATTAGCATTATTAATATCACAAAACTATAAAATTAACTTAAAAGTATCATTTGAAGAACTAATTGACCCGCTGTAGGTTCATGTTTATTTCGCGTTTTTTATGACGAAAAAATAATATTTAAAAAACATGTCCATACAAATGATAAAAGTATTAGAATTACAACCRCTAATTTTTTTAAAATTTTATATCACCATATTTTTATTTAAAATGTATTCTTTTCTCTCACTTCGTCCGCCATTACTAGCTTAAAAAAATCTCCGGTCGGGCCGCAATGCATTATGGGATATGCTGGGCCGGGAAGCATCCATCGGACCTGTCCTTCGATTCGGGTCAAAGGAAGGACGTATTTGTTGGCCGCATCGGAGGAGTCTTCGGTTTTGGACGTCCTTCGTCGCGGCGCTGTGACGWATGCGGCCGACGAATTCGACCTTCGGAGGAGCCGTCCTGCCGTTTCGGACACAGCCATTTTAAACCTTAATTAAAAATCGATACAGGGCTTTAGAATATCGATACAGTATCAGGAAATGAAATATCGCGATATTTCAGTGTATCGATATTTTCTTACACCCCTAGTTATAATGAGTACAAATAAGAAATTAGAGGCAACAAGTACAGTGACATGAGTACATTTTCTATCCTAAAACAAAAACACCATCCCTACTTTAGCAATAAGCAACAATCAGTCCCCTCAATTAAAAATAAACCGAAAACATGTCTCAGAACAAGTGTAATCATTAACTGCTTAAAACTGTTAAAACTTAATAAGCCATTAAATATGACAGGTAGTGAGAAAACACACCTTTAATATGCCAACTCTATGAAAACATGCAGGCTAAATGTCAACAAATGTTTGATTGCTGTATGTTTACTTAAGCAGCATGCAGTATAAACAGATGTTTTCATGGGTTTCCTGTAATAAATAGAACTATTCTGCACATTTATACACAAGATTCTGTGCAATATACATGATTATCATTAAACCAATAAAGCAAGTGTTGTCAACTTAGAATAAAAAAATTTAAGCAAATATGAGCTCTGCTTATGTCTCAGCATGCTGCTTTCAGCAATCCTACTTTACACACTAGCATCACTTTCAGCGTGGTGCAACAGTTTCACTTCACTTTTTGAAGGTTATTCTACAAAAACACCCCTCGAGGAGTAATAAAGTGAGTCATTTCAGGCGTGTTTTCCCTCTTGTTCGAGTTCAAACAAGCTTTAAAAACATCCGAGCGAGTTTTCCTGCTCGGATAACGAAAAGTCTGCAGCTCCAAGCTAGCATAGCCGCCATATGTGAGGCACCCCGACCAGGCTTCAGTTTGGCTGCACATTTCAGGTTGAAATAAAGCAGAGTGTAAATAGATTAGCTGAGTGTTGTAAAGCTCATATGTTCGTGCATTGTTGTGACTTCGTTTAAATAGCTCACCGGCAGCTGCTGTGCAGGGGTCTCCGCTAGTTTCTCCGACTCGTTCAGAGGTCAAGCGTAGCGGGCGGCTCCAGCTAAACAACCCTAATTTAGCTAAACAACAACTGCCGCTAGCTGGGGTCACTTGCTAGCCGTCTCCTCTTTCTTCTTCTTCTTTTTTTCTTCTTCTTCTCTTGCTGCAGCGAGCTTTAATCCAGTTTGTCAGCACGAGGTCAAACCCCCTATTTACCAACTTCCTCGTGCGGGAGGCAGAGCTGTTTGTTGACGCACACTGACTCGGTAACAAACAAGAACACAACACGGACCTCGCGCTTTAGCTTCCTGTCCTCTCACTTTTTTAGCCTCATCAAACTTCCCCTCTGGACTCAGACCTAATAAATGCAAGGCTGTCTGTTTTTTTCCCTTCTTGTTCTTTCTTTAGTTTCTCTCGCTTTTTTTGCTTTTTTTTTTTTTTTTTTTTTTTTTTTTTTT